CCCCCCCCCGGGCCGCGGTAAAATTGTCAAGCGTTGACCGGTCCGCAGTGATAAAAAGGTTGGGGACCACTGCTCTACAGGACAGGGATAATGGGGCGTACAGGCCAAATACCTAACACACCCACATCAGGATGGACATCCTGGAAGTGCAGACAAGCACAAACAGGTAGGAAACACACAGCACCACTTCAAGGACTTCTATCTGTTAAGTCATATTATCAGGCTCTTACTGAGATACCCAGGAGATGCCTGACCTGCTCAGTGTCAGCAGCTTGACCTAAAACTTGACATGCTGAAGTTCAATAAGAGAAATAGTTTTAAAGTCACTTGCGCAGCAATGACTCAACACATTATAGTGTAAAGTTCAAGAATTGTAATATTGTTTAAAGTAATATATGCTGATGCACTGAAGCTGAGGTAAGACACAAGGGGGTGAATAGTGTGGTCCCAGTCTGGCTCCATCATTTACATAAGACGGGCTGTTATATGACCAGAACACACACACCCAATATCAGTGGATTCCCAGTGGCAAAGAGAGTCTGTAAACAGTGAACATGTTACTGAGCATGCGACTCACACCAGGATACCAAAACTATTGGAAAGTGCTGATACTGTTTGTAAGACCCCAACAGTGACGCAGTCATAATAGCTGCATTCTCCCTCACAGTTTTCAATATCATCTATGGACAGTTAATGCCTTTATTATTGAGTGGTTCCGTTGACCGAGGAGCACTCCAACATACAGTATAGGCTAGAAACAAAAAAGAGCGATGGTGACACACAGCAAAGCTAATCACTAGCAGACACCTGCAGACAGCCTTTTGCCAAACAGCGGAAATAGCAGCAAGCACAAGTCAGCACAGAGTGAATGAAAGCATCGTGGCTGTATACATCACCGAGAGGAGCGTGAGGCATGCGGCAGACAACTAGGCCATTAACTGTACACTTTCTATTTTAAGCTCTAATATTCAGATTGTTATAGACCTAATTAAAAACTTTAAAATCAGTGTTAATGGATTTTTTTGTGCCCACTAAGACAAACAGAACAAGGGGTAAACATAACTGATGTATTATTACCTTTGAAAGTTGTTACTACATGAAGAACGTGTTGGTGCTGGGCAGGTAACTAACAGTGTGTTCTTAGATGTTGTGGTGAGAACCACAAGACTGGATCAAACCAGTTAACGTAAAGCTGAACAAGTCTGAAACTCTCTGTATAACCAAGAGCTTGTGTTATCTGTGGGGTGTCCCTGCAACACATAGTCATTTGAGCCACTGATAATATGAACATGTCGATGACTACACCTTAAAGGATGTGAATAGCCTACCCTTCCGTTGAAAGTACAGTACTGAAGCAAACCATTTAATAACTGGTGACAGGTGTGTCATTTTAGGAGTGTGATGAATTTTACCTCAGTGTGTTTTTTGTTATAGAAAGTAAAGCAGCCAATGGCCTCAATGTCCCTGGGAGCAGAAGATCTCGCTGGGCCCTCCAGACGACGTCGGGTCGAGGGAGGAAGCTCCGTGTACAACTGGTAGGACAGGTTTCTCATCACACACAATGAATTTTCCAAACCCTAAACATAAAGAAAGACAAAGGGACAGGATGCCAGTCGGGGTCTGACAATAGGACTATGTAACAATCCTAACTGGATGATGAAACATGAAAACTAAACAACCTGATAAGCTGGTACTCTCATCATATGAAAGCTGACCCGAATGTCCATTGTGTAACAGATATCTGGAATTTGGACACTTCTTCCTTCTTTTGCTATTGATTTGTCAAACTCAAAAAAGCCCCCCAAAATAATAAGTTTATTTTTAATAAAATATAATTGTTATTTATTTAATTCAATTTTAAAAAACCTGGGATCTGAATATAATCTCCGTGGATCAGGAGTAAGGTACTGGGGCGGGGCGGTTTCTATCTGTTAGATCAATGGCAATATGGAAATCTGAGGCAAAAATTAGACAAAAGATCCACACACTATGCTTAATGCAGTGTGGGAATGTTTTGTCTACTTTGTACCTTTTTGGATGTTCGTGTCCCGTGTTTTGTTTTGTTTAATATGGAAACTCCATCACAGCACATTCATGTCAGCAACTTGACGTAAAGCTCGACTTCGAGCCTCAATAAGTGAAATATATTGAAAGTCACATGTACAGTAATGGCTCAGCACATTTTAGTGTAGTGTTGAAAAATTCTACATATCTGTTAATGCAATTAAACTGAGATAAGGTACATGGGGGTGAATACTGTGGTCCCAAGTTGATCTAAGTCTATCATTTATACAAGACACTTTGTTATATAACCAGAACACACACAGCTTGTATACAGTAGCTCCTCGGTTGCAAAATGAGTTGGTCCCCGATGTTTAACAGTGTATATGTTACTGAGCGTGCAGCCCAAAACAGGATACACAGTGAATGGATAGATGAAAAGCTAAGGGATCACCAAAGCATTACAGTTCATCCTGAGAGGAACATGAATGTGTGGTCCAAATTGTAATCAATTCAACACTTAGCGAGACAGTTCACTCAAAACCACAAAATTAACCCAGTGGCAATGCTAATGGAAATGTCAGAGGTGTGCAACTGTAGGCAAATTAGTATACTGTGTATAATTTGTACATCAGCTGTTTGTCTATAGACTCAAACTGGCATATGTAACAGTTTGGCTTTCATCCTAAATATTCTAGAGATTGATTTTTATAGAACAGCTTATGTCTGCATTCCATAAGTGACCTGGTTAAGGCATTTTTTTCTTGATCTTAAAAAGTGAGACAGTAAGTCATGATACCCAAATTTTTCTTTCCGGGCTCAGCCCATAAGGAGTTGGAATTAAATTTTATGGTAACTCAGCAATGCACTGAACATTTTTTTTAAGTAAAACATCTCAGCCTTATCAAAATCAAAGTTCAAAGTGTATATTTGTCATATGCACATACAATGTATGCACATACAATGAAATTCTTACTTTGCCGTCCACATGAATGCCACAAAATACAAATGAAATATAAAGTAGATAAATAAGTAACACAAAATCTAAGGCACTTAAGCAGCAACAAATGCAGCAATATAATAAAAATATATAAGAATATAATAGAGAACGTATGCTGCATGGGAGCAGCATGTGCAGCAGTCAACAGTCATTGTGCAATTATGCATGTGCAAACTGAGAATGTAAACAGTACAGGTGGTACTAACGGTAGTAACGGTACAAAGTGGTCTATGCGCAGGTGAAATCCTATCTAGACGAGAATAACTTATTGGAGGTTTTTCAATCTGGTTTTAAACCTCTGCATAGTACAGAGTCAGCCTTACTGAAGGTTGTTAATGATATTTATTTGGCCACTGATGCGGGTGAATATGTTATTCTTGTCCTGTTGGACTTGACTGCCGCCTTTGACATGGTTGACCATGACATTTTAATATCTTGGCTTCAGGACTTGGTGGGCATTCGTGGTGCTGCCCTAGCGTGGTTTAAGTCTTATTTATTGGGTAGATCGGTGTCTGTCGGGTTGGAAGATGCTGAATCTGTGACAACCACTTTGCTATCTGGGGTCCCACAGGGCTAAATTTTGGGGCCTCTGCTTTTTTTCACTGTATTTACTTCCCCTTGGCTCTATTTTTAGGAAACATGGGGTGTCTTTTCATTGCTATTCTGACGACGTCCAGATTATTATGCCACTGAGTAAAGTTATAGTGTTTGGCCCGAATACGTCTGATGACCTTCCCTCGGTAGATTTAGGGTTCTTGGGGCAGTATGTGCGACCAGTGATCACTGACCTAGGTGTTAAAATAGACTCCAACTTGACAATGGAAAGCCAGATAAACGCGGTCGTAAAATCTGCTTTTTTTTTCTATCTTAGGCAGTTAGTGAAAGTAAAGTCCTTTTTGTTGCGGCAGCATTTTGAGACGTGATCCATGCGTTGTTACATCTCACATGGATTACTGCAATGTATTGTACCCTGGAGTCAGTCAATTGGGTCTTGCCCGCCTCCAGAGGGTTCAGAATGCTGCCGCTGAGTTATTGGTAGGGGGGCATAAGAGGGACCACATAACTCCAATACTGGCATCTCTTCACTGGCTTCCTGTGCGTTTTAGGGTCCGTTTTAAGATTCTTTTATTTGTTTATAAGTCCTTGAATGGGCTTGCTCCTTCTTATCTTACCGAACTTTTTCGATATGAGGCAGGCCCCCTCGTTGCCCATTTTTAAGTCATATTTGAAGACCTATTTGTATTCATTGGCGTTTGGCCAGGAATGAGACTCTTTTTACCTTGATTGGACCCAAATGTATGTTTTATTGTTTTTTATTTTTATGTTGTTACGATTTTAGATTTGTATTGTATGTTAAGCACTTTGGTCAGCTGTGGCTGTGGTAAAGCGCTATATAAATAAAGTTGAGTTGAGTTGAGTTGAGTTGAGGTCGACAGTACATGACGTATTTCCTGGTAACAAACTTACAACATTCCCACCTAAAATTTGAGAAAGGAAGGTTGCAGGAGCAAACTGAAATACACTTAAAAACACTTTTAAACGTACACTTTTAAAAACATGATGAATTTGGTGGGCTCCAATCTAAAGGCATACTTAATACTGAACATGGTCACTGCTAGAATTATTATTAATGGTTGCTGGTGGCTTTGTAAAAAAACCTTGTTGTACCAGAACAGCCAGAGATTTCCCACAGTGGATCTGTTTGAGTCTATTAACTGAGAACTTCAAAAATCATCTAAATACTTTTAGTGAATAATTACCTAGAGTGGAACCAAAGCAGATGAGAGTGACCCCTTTGCTCACATATTAGTGATACTGGTACTGGATGTGCATGTACTGAGAATTGATTGAGTGAAAGAACTGAAGGTGGTCCTGCCAACAAAGTATAGAAAATGGCCTTAATGGTGACAACAACAAACTCAAGCACCTTTTCCTTTACTTAAATTCATGCAGAAATCAGATTTTGGCAGAGAAATTACTTCGACTATGAACTTTTCAGAACAGCCACCATGTGTTTTCAGTCTCAAAACAATTCCCAACAACATGCGCAGGAAAGTTTCATGTTGAAGTTTAACCAAAGCAGCATGTTAGTCAATCATCTGCCAGGTGGTTAAAGGTTGACCCAAACATCTGCAAAGTAATTTTAGTCTTTTTAAA